AAAGTAAATTACTGGCTATCTAATTGCAATAATTAAATTTGCCACAAATTTAAAGATTCATGTTAATGTTTTCATATCCAGCATGGAAAATGAAGCTCCCTCCGGTATTTTCTGACTATGCTCAAAAGAAAACCTTTTACGATTCTTGAATGAGAATCAGAGACCCACAGAGTCAGGCATACCAAAGGTGCTCGATGGTTGGTTTTTAAATAAATGAAGGATTGTACATTACAACCTAATTAATATACAGTGCACTGATAATGTACAAAAGCTCAATAAAGATTTGTTTTAAAAAATTGGGGTTTAAAATGCTTCTATTACGTTAAATTAGAAGTTAGATGAAAAACAGGAGAAATGTCTCAGGTTCTATTTGTGCCTGGGAGGAGAACTAAGGGAAGATGGCCACATTCAAGAAACAAGCACGTGTGTAAACCAGCAAAGACGGATCCAACCACCATGTAATTCTCACACTGTGTGTCTATCAATAAAAGTTGATGCTATCTTATTTTAAAAGCAGAATTTCTGTTTGAGGCTGATTTGATAATGTTTCTAGTTTATAAAAAGGAAGAAGGGGACAGCAAAGCAGAGCTGTTTTTCTGCTCTGAAGTGAGGATAGGAGCCTGCATCAGTGACAAGAAGCATCGTGGGCCACGGAAGGCCTCCGAGCTAAGGAGGGAAGTAACCCCGTGTATATCAAATGCCCTCTTTGAGCAGGCACTTTGCTGAATGCTGTTCATTTAGCCTTGTCCAGGATGTTGTGAGGCACTTGTGTTTTTCTCTGCTTTACATATGATGAAACTGAATGGCTTGTCCAATGTCACCAAGCCAGTGAGTAGCAGCCAGACTTCCAACCCTAGGACCCGCAGCCTTAATGCTAAGCACAGGACATCCGGCTCAGAGCAATGTGCCCTAAATTGTTACCCCTTTCTTTCTGCAGTCCACAAGCTATTTTTTTTAAACAAAATTAAACAAAAAGAACCACTGCATTTTACAGTATAATCAACTATATAAATCGCCTGAGAGTTGGTAAGAGGAGGTCTTTGAGTTCAGATATGAAACTGAATAGGCCATCTATTTTCCTATATAATTAAGTGTAGAATACAATTGTGTAGCACTCAATATGCATCCCATTCTCTAGGCTAAGCTTTATTTGACATTAATAAATATAATTAAGAATCACCATTCCAGGTACCTTTCACAAGATTTTTTCCAGCTCAGACTCTCTTTGCCTAGGGAGCAATTACCATCTTGACTTCCACAATGGAAGCAGAGTACCAAAACAGAGACAGTCACTGAAACAAAGGAGTCAAAATGAATATTAGTTCTTATCTATTCCAAAACCAGATTTTTTTTTTCCTTTTTTCCTTTTTTTGTGTCCGGCAACAGATCGCAACCCTCAGTGTCGCGCCCGTACCGGACCGGGACCGGCAACAGGATCGCAACCCTCGGTGTTGCTCCCGCACCTCGCTCAGCCAGTGAGCGGGAACCGGTCTGTATGTGGGATCCGAACCCTC